AAAAGAAAGGTAGGAAATATTGTGTTAAACGAATTCATCAATCACGTTTTTTAGGGAACACAATCGTCATACTTATTATTGCTTATCCTCCCTTCATATATCTAAGATTTTAATGACTTCACTCTATCCTACACAGTAATGCTGAATTTACATAAAACCTCAAGATTAACCGTCGATTTCGACGGGGTTCCACTAGTCTATCTATATATTAATAGGCAAGCATGTTTCTTTAAAACCTTTTTTCTCAGCTCGTGTGAATCGTAGGGAAAATCTACGCATACCGTTGGAAAGCTATTTTCCTGTAGGTGTGCAGAATCCCTTTATAAATTTAAATAGGCTCAAAGATAAGCACAAAAAATGAGTTTAAAAATTTGAAAAAATTAACATGGATCTTATGCGTTGCTATGCTGGTTACGAAATAACAACGAAATATAAACAGAAAATCAAAACAAATGGAGGAAACTCCAATCACATGTTTTATTTACAGTGTGGGGTGAAAATAGATAAGTGAGTACATTACATATTTTTGGTCGAGTTTCGACCACTGGACGACCTCTCGTACTGTTAAATCTGTGGTTCAACACAACAACCTTTACCCGGAATAGGGGGAAGTCTTTAGATCCTATTATAACATCGGGAATAAGACAAATTTATAGTCATCCATTAACAATTATTCCTAAACGTCAAGTTTAACAGAGATTGAATATCATGTAGTTTTATAAAGAGTGCATGCAAGTCGTGAAGAATTTTAACATGGATGTAAAAATAGTGTTTAGAACGTGAAATGCATACGAACTTTTTCGTAGCCTATAATTAATTAATGGGGATGAGACTTTTGGCTTTTAGATATTTTGTAAAAATGTAAATGTTTAAAAATATAATAAAAGAATCATAATCGTCCCTTTATAGCGCCACGTGGTCATTAGAGCTATTCTACCGAGAAAAAACTCGAATAACCTAATTTTAGATAGGCCAATGTTATTAGATTGAACTAATTTTATGCCATATAATATCACACACAGCTGGGTGTAGTTGACCCTAGGTTTAAATAAAGGGCAAATGAAGAATGGATTAAGTTGCCTGCTGTAATTTTATTATTGACTAGGGTAAACTGTTTCTCTAGCCATAATGAATTTAAATTCCATTGGTGAAGGACATAGTTGGGTCCAGTTTTGATACATACTACCGGCTTATTTCCGGGTCAAACCGGTGACCATCTAATTACCAGCTAGCTCTAAAACAGAAAATAAATTTGTCAAGGTTTTAAAGAAGAAACAGATTCCATTATTCTAATACACTCAAAACTCACTTTGATGGTCAATAATTACTAGTTTAGTGAAGGTATTAAGCTACTTAGTACAGCTAATTATGTGGAACTGGCATATCCAAATTAATGTACCATGATCTAGTATATCCATAGGCCTACAGAAGAAAATCCATGCAATCTTATAATTCATAAATGACGAGGATGACCTTGACCTAAAATTAATTATTAAGTCATCACGTAAACTTCAAATATACAGAGATAAACCATGAATGAAATTTTTTGCCATTAAAAAATGAAACTTACTGCGGGTTGTCGAGAGAGCTCTGCTTTTAAGTACAATTTAGTTCTTACACATAACATTTTTAACCATACCAAAATGGAAGGACAATTTTAAGTCAACTGAAACACGCTTATTCAAGTATAATTAAATGAAAACACTTAGTATAAAACTATAATAGGGACGTTCTATCATATATTCAAGTAAAATACTTTCTATGTTTAGTCGATAATTCAGTATTATACTTCAGTATTCAGAATTAATACTAATTATTTTAATTCTTATTAAAATTTATTATATTTTGACACAGTATTATATTTTGTTAATCCTAATTAACCAGTAATTAAAACGGATCACAGACTTTCAACTAACTTGTGTATATAAACCACATTTTAATTCCGATGTGTCCATTTTATGGATTATCTATCTATACTATTATAATTTTATAATAGTTAATTATAAAATTAACTATTATAGATTTTAAGATGGTGACTGTCTGTCTGTCTGTATGGCTACCACGACTAAAATACTAAGCCAATACAGCCAAATTTAAGCACAAAGATGGTCCACATATCTAGGAATGTCGTAGGCCTTTTCACTTCCCTGAGTTCCTCTCGGGCTACGCCCCTTGGATGTCCGTCCAATTGTTTGAGGTGAGGGTTTCAAAAGTAAATATTAATTGGTCTCCATGAAAGCATGAGAAAATTCACAATCTTCGTTTGCCTTTGCGTTGAAATTTTAATGTAAACCATTAGAACTGCTAAATGCTTATTTCACAATTTCAGACAGCTAATCCAAACAAATTAAATACAATATTTGACACAACTATGGGGTAGGTTTATTTACTCTTAAACTTTGTCATAGATTATGGAAATGAAGAAATATTCTATAACCCTCAGTTATGGAAATTATGTTATTGTATTATTATATAAAATTTGGTGGCTTTTTAATAAATTCGAACTACTTATAACAAGTGTTTGGAGTAGGTGGTATGGTACATCTTGCCGTTGCGAAGAACGGCTACAGCAGCTAGTTAGTACAGTATTATTAAATGGATCCTTGTAGAATGGCAAAAGACTTGGGTTTTCCAGGAAAAGTAGATTTCCTTCACTTATCACGATGTAGTCACAATGGTCATCTCTAGTCACGTGCTTTGCCGTTCTGAGGTCACGGACTCATCCTGACATTAACAGTCAAGTAGAAGGAAATGTTAATAGTTAATGAGGGTGAACAGGTTAGCCAGCGGTTGACTCGTTACATTTTGTTTTCACAATTTGTACGCATTCTTATAGCTTTGGGTTGGGGTTTTCGCCCTCTGATTTCGTGCAGCGGACGAAAATAAATATGGCTTTTCTAATACAATTTTCTATCCAATTCATTATTTAAGGTTAAAGAAAAAGGCAAAGGTAATTATTATTTAAAAATATATTGTTTGAGACCACAAAGAAAAAAGTACTCTAACACTTTAAAATTAAAACAAATTGAGAATTGTAAGCAATATAGGTTTAGAACTATAACAACGTATTTTAATAATGTGTCCTATGACATATAGATAACTTCTTGATCAGCATCGTACGTGTTATCAATTTACCTGAAATTTTAAAAAATACGTCTACTAGTATTTACAAGTATTTACTGTTGACTTACAAGACGGTAAATGCAAAGGTTCGTTCGCCTATCGTGTCTGATGATGATTGGAGTGTCCAATCGAAATCGATTACCACTTACCATCTTTTATGTGTATTTACCGTCTCGTGGTCAACAGTATAAGTGTTAGCATATTATTACAAGTGTTATTAGACGTATTGTGTATACTTTCAGGTATAAATATAGAGCTTACTGTGTTATATCTTTCAACCCTAGGTTACAATTTTCATAAGACAAACATAAGTCAACTTTAACCAATATTTATTATAGTGTAACAAATAAATAATGAGTGTCCTATGGTGGTATTTTGTAAAGGATTTTTAGTTTGTATATTAATAATGAAACATGTAGTTTTAGTTTAAGAGGGCTGAAAATTTTTGGGTTACGGTTATTAGCTAATTTAAAATCAAATAATTTATTGTAGTTTGCTGTTTTCAAAAGAAGGTCGTACGCAAAAAAAGTCAAACATACTGACCATACTGAAGTTAGTTTAATGTTACCAACGTTCGAAACCCAAATAAATATTAAATGTTAATTTGCCAAATTCTTAGTAATGGTCCAATGTGGTTTACATATTTTTTACTAAAAAATCGTACTATTTAACAATATTGTATTCTTACACAACAAGAGATTAAATGTAATTGAAAACCATAGTATTTCTGGTGGGGTACAATGGTGGATCGATTTTAGTTTGTTAAATCTTTGGAATCCCCTAGCACTTCTTGAGAAGAAGTTGACAAAATTGATACTTAGGTAATTCCGTCGCAAATTCGCTTTTATAAAATAAAACAATTTTTTACATCATGGGGAGTAATTTAATGCAAATACGTCAGAAGTAATGGCAAACGTATCCTATGAGGTACGGAAGAAAACTGACGACACTTGAGAAAGTTTTCATATAAGCTTATGAGTGTGATTTTAGCTTCTAAATTAAAAAATGAAAAAGATAAAGTTTATAAATTTACTGTTATTATTTGTTTGGTTTAATTCTTTCCATATATAATTGGAACTACTGTTTCAGTTTTGTTATGCTTATGACGTTGTTATCTATTTATTTGATTTAATTAACTCATTGTGTACTATCCGACCTCACCATAAACAAAGAAGCGTGAAGTATAGGGAAAGTGTTTACTAGACTGTAAATTGTGGTAAGATAGCCTACTCAGTTACATCCTTCTAATATAATAAAGGAATAATAACCAAATGTTCGGAGTTTTGTAATTGAGGCGTGAAGCAAGCCCCTTTAAATTGCTGGAATTTGCTACTAGAATTAAATTGTCACTCTTTGAGGAGCGATCTGGTTAGACCATACTCCCTGAGGTCCCGCGGGTTCAAATCCCACTAAGTCACCAATGGATTTTATTTAGTGATAATGGCGTAACCCTAGCCTAGGTAGCCTGAAGTAATGTGAAAAACAATCTAGGCTCGTGCCTAGCGCCCTAGGAAAAAAACAGACAAAGGGGGCTTTTGCAAGGCAAACTAGTATTAAAAGATCCTTTTTGAGAGGTTTAAATTTTTAGACAAGTCTCTAGTATAGTAAAGTTTCTTTACGTGCTTCTAACCATTGGTCAGTTTAGAGTCTAACCATTTTGGCCGCCCAAGTAGTTTTAAACTTTCAGCATTCAACCGTTCACTACATAGCTGAAATGTTGTTTAGTACGATCGAAGAGATTAACGGACTCGATTTACCCTTTTCATAAAATCAAAAAAATATTTCTCAGTGCGTGCTTGGGAATTTGCGGACCTTTTCAGGTCCTTCAAAATTGAATGTATTGTCCAGTTGATGAGCATTGCTACGTCTACTTGCAGGTATCCCAGAACACAACATCCCTCCCATCGAGCCGCTGGTCATCCCCATGGTGATGTTGCAGCAGGGAACATCCGCCGTCAACTACCACGCCAACCTCAAGAACATCATGGTCTTCGGCCTCGCCAACTATCAGTTCAAGAATGTCGTGTGAGTAGCCAACCAAATGTGTTATGCTATTGTAGAAGTTGGGAAACTCACATTGTTGAGCGGACGTTACAAGTACAATAAATTATCACTTTGTATAATATCTTACAATGTTACAATATTTGTTTTATTTTGCCAATATGTGTCCTGTGATGAAATCACAATCCTATTTCCTAAAGTATGAAGGTTTTCTGATTAAAGATTGTGGGCCTCAAAGATTAAAAGTAACCCATGTAACAAGGACCATTTTACTACCATTACAGTTGATAATTAGTACATTTCTCCGGTATAAGTACTTAACGTTTGAACATCTATATTCAGTGGTATATTACTTATTAATTACTCCTTAGGTTTGCCTATACATCAACTTGTTCCGATTAAACATGCTTAGAATTATTACAGTAGATTTCAAGAAAGAAAAGGGAAAGTGTTAATTTTGATTTTAGATGATTTTTCAGCTGAGTGAGCTTGGCTGTAAACCCAGATGAATAACATTTTTGGTTAGCTACAATTTAACTGAAAATAATAGTGATTTTATTGGAATTTAGAGAAATTAAACAGATGAACTATATTTAAAATTACAAATGGCTGAAAACAGTTAGCAAACAGTTGGTATACATATTTTTTAAATGATTTTGAGACGATATCTTCCGACCACGCACCTAATATGTAAAATTGTAACTGATGCATTTATAGCACAGGAAAAGGAAATAATATTGATTTTTTGGTCTGTGATAAGAGTTTACATATACATAGAAATATTTTGTTTAAATGAAACTACCAAATACATTGTAACCACCCCCACTTATCCTCTAACTAAGATATTTCAACCAAGTGTTAAAAATTGACGTTTTGCTAAGCTAGCTTTTTGATATTGGATGCCTCAGTCATGTAATCATTTCCAAAGGTTTATAAATTATACTGGTCCTAAATTTCTTATTTAGCTGAAAGTATGTTTACAAACTGGGTATGTAAAAATATCACTAAAGTGAAGTAATTTTATTACTTTGTCCTTTTATTTACATTGTTACATCTTTATTCTCCAACCCACAACTGGTGAGTCAGTTCTGTGTGGGAAGCCACCAATAACTGTCAATACATAACTCATTGTTGTAACTTGTCTATGGTTAAGTTGTATATTCTATTGTGCTTACTTGCGGATACATTTGTCATTCACTACTCAAGACAATACAACAGGGATATAGAAATAGTAGGTATTTATGGAAATAGTCATGAAGATGCTTCTATCCAAGGATAACTAGAGACGGCAGTTTCCTTCCACCAACACATACAGTGTGTAAATTAAGTATGGAAACAAATCTGTATTTTTAAAACCGAAATAGATAGAAATATTCTATTTGTGGCAATAATAGTTAACAAAGATTCCGCAATTTTTCACATGAAAAATATTTTTTTACCCCCCTAACAGGGTAGGTGGTAGGGGGTGACTTATTTTTTTCAAATAGCAACCCCTATTGAGTGACCCCTCATTTTGAAGGGTTTGTCAAAAGAAACACAATGACGCAAATCCGAGGTGAATATCTCACTCCTAGCTAACATGGCGGATATTCCAAAATGGGCTTTTTTTTACAAAAATTAAATTTTTCATTACCCACCATTTAGGCTAGGGGTGAAATATCTACCTCGGGTTTGCGTCATTCTTTTTCTTTTAACAAACCCTTCAAAATGAGGGGTCACTCAATAGGGGTTGTTGTTGAAAAAAATAAGTCACTCCCACCCCCTACCCTGTTAAAGGGGTTGAAAAAATATTGTTAATTAAAAAAATTGCGGAACCTATGTCAACAATCAATTCCACAAACAGAATATTTCTATCTATTTCGGTTTTAAAAATACAGATTTCTTTCCATTATTTGTGAAATTGGTGTTTTTCACGTACAATAAATCAAATTTTGGAATATCCGCCATTTGGGCTAGGAGTGAGATATTCACCTCGGATTTGCGTCATTGTGTGTCTTTTGACAAACCCTTCAAAATGAGGGGTCACTCAATAGGGGTTGCTATTTGAAAAAAATAAGTCACCCCCTACCACCTACCCTGTTAGGGGGGTAAAAAAATATTTTTCATGTGAAAAATTGCGGAATCTTTGTTAACTATTATTGCCACAAATAGAATATTTCTATCTATTTCGGTTTTAAAAATACAGATTTGTTTCCATACTTAATTTACACACTGTATATAGAAACGCATGGGAATAGGTAGTAAAGCATTTGCTAATATTGATAGTAAAAGAACGGTATCTATACAAAATGTGTGAAGATTTTCGTTTCGAAACTTTGTAATTCTGTTGCTTTAGATGAATTAACTATCATGAAACCTAACCTACAAATAACTTACCATCCTCATTGAGCCCTTTTTTGGTTGTTTATTAATTTCAATGACAATTTGTATGACAATATTGAAACCCTCTAAGGAAAAACGGTTCTAACCCCTGTAATTCTTGAGGAAATCCCGGGGATGAATCCGGTTTTTTGCTAACTACTAATAAACTTTCAAAAAAACCCAGCCATTTTATGACTGATAGGTCTGAGATATGGAGATAAAATTTTGGTTTTTAAAATTTGTTGCAAAACGTAATGACGTTTAAAGAGAAACTAGTTCTTTTCCTAGAAACTTACAAAATATCATGTTTGTAAAAAGTATCAATTATTTAAATTCAATTGAGATGTGTGTACTTATAATTATGACAAAAACTTTTACCTTATTCTGTTAGAAATGGAGTTTTGTTTACATCAACGTTGAACAAATCATGTATAAATTTTTCTCCAGATTCAAGATCAATTTAAATTTTTTTTGGATATCGATAGATGTATTTATCTTCATTTAGTATTGTTGTTCCACAGACTGAATGCAAATAAGTTGATGGCAGCCGCCAGGATAGAGATTCCCAACATCATGCTTCTGTCTGACTACACCATCAAGGGACGAGCGCTGGTCGTACCCATACAAGGCAACGGGATCTTCCGGGCCAACCTAAGTGAGTAACAGAGTAACCACCAGGACAGATTTACTACTAAACATGATCAGTATTAAATTATTTGACGTTAAAACGCCATCTGATTGTGATAATTTCATCTAAGTGGATGCATTAATCAGTGCATGATTTAACATAATTTATGCTAAAACTGTATCCATAAAATTTGTTATGCTCATTTTTAGTGAATTCATATTCATGGACATATAGGTACTATGCACATGTATGGAGTTAAGAGCGAGAAGACCTTTAGAGAGTTTGCTAAACAAGTGAAGTTGATCAATTACCAAATTACTTCGATAGGGCTAAACGGAGGGTAATGCTGTAGAAAACCTCAAACCTTTCCTCTCGACCTCTATTAGTCAAGCTTGGGCCAAACAGAATTCAATGTCAAACAATATTGTTAGATCAAGCAACAGAGGATGTAATTCTATAGACTATCGTTGTAATACGAAGTGATAATTACTCATCGTACCTGACATTCGCAACTGTGTGAGATTGAGAATATTAGAATGGCGTGTCTGAGCTCGTGGGAACGTCTTGTCCTGTAATCAACGATGTGCAATCGTTATCAGCTGTCACGTGGTCAAGGTTGAACACAAGTCACGTCAGGTCAGAGTGTCACTAGCGAACAGTTAGCCGTTGAGCATGCACACAGTTTATGTAGGGGTAAAACTGTAATGGAAGTGTGTGGATGAGATTCCTTCACTTCGTATAAATGTTCCTTCACTTCGGTGAAAGATATTTATACCTGTAGATGTGCAGAATCCCTTTATAAATTAAAATAGGTTAAAAAATAAGCACGAAAACAGAGTTTGAATTTTCAAAAAATTAACACGGGTCTATGGGTTGCCATGCTGGTGACAAAATAATAACAAACTATAAACATAAACTCTAAACAAATTCCAATCACATGTTTGATGTACATTGTATGGTAAAATAGAGAAGTCTGTAAATACTGTATACATATGTTTGGTTGAGTTTTCAACCACTGAACGATTTATATATATTTGTAGGTCATCGAATCTTGGTCTGAGTTCAGAGAAATATTATGAAAAAGGGTGTAAGAAGTTTGTGGCAACTAAGAGCAAAATTGCACATATATAGATATACTTGTATACAAGTTTTCATCGAATTGTGTTTTTGACTTCTGGAAACCCCAAAATGAAAAAGTAAATTGGTCTCGGATTTAAGTTTTACCATTCCAACAGCACATACAACAGCTTCTTCTCTATAGGTGAAAAGCACTGAAAATAAAATTATTGCTGCACGGTCGAGTTTTGGGTCGAGTTAGCATCATAAATCCTACTGTACACTTTATTGTGTATACTTCTAATATTTCAGTCCGAAGAACATCTTCTTAACTGTGATGTAACACATGGTTTTATGGGAACTAACTAAATGTAATAGTTGCTATTGTTGATTATTCATCACACCCATCTAACTGTTCAGTTACTGTACACAGATGATGATGTTTTATTGTGTTACAGCCAATGTTCAAGCTGATGTAATGATTGCTGCCAACCTCAAGAAGCGCAAGGGTGAGGACTACCTCCACATCAAGATGGTCAAGAGCAGACTGAACGTCGGCAAAGCTACGGCTAACTTCGAGAACCTCTTCAACGGGGATAAGACCCTCAGTAAGTGTATATATACAGAGTGTTACATAAATACATAGCCTGCTATGCAGAACCTGACATTTCATACCAAAATATAACGATAAAGTCTAAAAACCTCTGGTATTATACCGACTACACCTAATTATAACCTATCCTAACCTAACCTAAGGGTGCACTGTATTTTAGGTTATGATAGGTTCGGAAGATTTTGTTGTTTAAAGTAATTAAAATCTTATTAGGAAGTCGATTTATCAGTGTGGTCGGTATAATACCAAAGAACCAAACCTTTTTTATGTTTCGGCATATCCGTAATCCGCCATATCGTAATCAAGTATAATTACTCAAATTCTCCTGGTGATATCTTTGTGAAACTTTGTAGAAACTTTAAGATTTTTGTTTTTGTTTAATGTAGTTTCCAAACGTATTTTATGTCAAACAGAATAGTTTTAAAAATAGTCCCCATCTCGAATCTTCAAAGTCAAATTATATCAAAAAGAGCAACAAAATCAAAATCATACAAAAACTACTATAAAACAATTTTATATTCAAACTAGCTGTACCCGCGGGCTTTGCCCCGTTTAACTTCATATGTGAGCTCGTTCGCATGGCTCAATCACGTCCTGGTTGAAGTTCGTTCGCTATGCTCACTCACCTTTAGGTTGGAGCTCGTTCGCTATGCTCACTCACCTTTAGGTTGGAGCTCGTTCGCTGCGCTCACTTGCCTTCAGGTTAGCTCGTTCGCTACGCTAACTTGCCTCTGGGTTCGTTCGCTACGCTCACTCACCTTTTGGTTTCAAATTAGCTGTTGTCAAATATTAAAAAAAATAATAGTGCTGCACTCTGCTGGTGATCCTTGTAACTTTAATGCTATTGAACATCATAGAACAGAACCAACTTGTTTAATTGAAACAGCTGTTATGATTCATTAATTCCATTTAAATATGAGTACTCATTAGGTTAACATGGGAAACTCCAGAGCCACTGGGGTGGAGCCCAAGAGTCCGATCAGAATAAAAACCACTTAGTTTTCCTATTTAATGCCTAAAGAATCAGTGTACCAAATTTCAGCCTCCTAGGTAAGTGGGAAGTGGGAGAATTAGTGATGAGTGAGTGAGTGAGTCAGTCAGTCAGTCAGTCAGTCAGTCAGTCAGTGAGGGCTTTGCCTTTTATATATATAGAAGATGTAATGCTATTATTATTGTTAAAATCTGATAATAAATATACAGAATTGAATCGAATTTAATAATTTTATCAATAGAATTAGATTTTATTTATAAATAAAAACTATTTTGATCAAGACCAAATTTAAAACTATTAGCCATTTTGAACAGTGAAAGTCAAATTTAATGAAAATGAGCCCCAGTATAAAATTCAAACCTTTCCGAAAGCTGAACTCAAGACTTTGCAAAGAGCATAAGATTTTTTTTTTTATTTCTATTTATAGGCTAAATAGTAGGGTAAATAGTGCATTCGTTAAACATATTTAACCAAATACGCTTCAATAAATGAAAATATTTGCAAAACTTACCCTTCTAATGCGCGTCAATAAGTATTAATTAAAACTACTTTATTTTGTATATGTTTTCTTGATCTACACTGTCAAACTTCACTCTTTGTGATTCCAGGTAAAGCAACCAACGACTTTGTCAATGAAAATGCCCACGACCTTATTGACGAAATCAAGCCAGCGGTGGAAGCAGTGGTCTCTATGCTTGTGGAAGACATCGGAAACAAAGTTCTTAAAACAACACCGTTCAACTCACTCTTCATACCTGAATAACTTCCTCGGCGCCAACTTAATTTATTACTTATTTATTGCAAATGACTGTGATCTTTCTGTTAGTGTAATATAAATTATTTTCCTACTTGCGTTTTACATATACCCCTGTTCCTAATGTGTTACAATGGGGGTGGAGCTGGTTTAGTGTGAGTGCAGAGCTTCGGTGCCCGAGGTCCCGGGTTCAAGGATTTGTATCTATGTGATAATGCCGCAACCACAACCCTCTAGGACTAGCCTGAAGTAATGTGTAAAACAGTTCCGAGCTAGAACTAGCTCCATAGGATGTGAAGGTGTTCTACCTTTATATATGTGTATACATGTAACAAAAATGTGTTTACGATGGGTACTTTTTGTTGCATTTTGCACATTCGTGTATGTAGATTTGAAGCGAAGTAATTTATTTTTCTCCACAATAGGATATTTTGTAGTATCACACAAACACTTATTAGAGGCTGAAATCTACGAATTGGTGTCCAGGTCCGAAATGTCAGCTGTCATTGTCATTTAGGGGCCGAGCAGGTTTTTACTCCCCTAGGGCCGAAAATCACCTGTTCCCTTATTTACTTTAACATACCAAACACCTCTGGACACATGGCAACTTCCTAAAGTTTCATGGTGGTCGGATGAATGGTTTGGCATTACATACAGGGCAAACAAACATACATGCAGACATACTTTGTATTTTATATACAAGGTGATGAAAAGTCTTAACACACCCAAAACCAAGTTAAATGGCATAAGATAAAAAATTTGCTACTTCAACATCATTGTATGATGACTTTTCTAGCTTTTAGCAGGAAACCAAAATTATTTTATCCCCTCCCCCTTTTAAAGTAGATATGGGGCAAATCAAAATTTTCAAACGTAAAGAATCATGTCGTGACCCATCATTTTAAAATTCTCGTTAAAATAAAATGTTTAGTGCGATTGAAATGTTTTGCGACCATCCTGGACATACTAACCTGGCTAACCTAACCAACCAAACGATATATCAATGAAACAATCGAATAATCAATATTTTCATTTCAATTATCAATTATTATCAATTATCAATTAGTTAAGATGGGGACGCCACTATGTGCGTATTTTAACCCAAATATGAGTGAAGGATGAGTGTAGGATGAGTAGCGCGATCTTGTAGTCTTGTTAGTGACTAAGGCCGACATGTTCCTTAGACACAGCTGTTAATTAATAGCCCATACAGCTAATGGCAACTAAGGGACCTACAGTTTATAGTGGAATCCGAACCACATATTTCCTTGTAATTTACGAATTGGTCTAATTATCAGGATAGTACTGCGGATAGTCGTAGTACTCACTAGTGCGGACGTAATCCACACCAGGGAGCATCGCATCCACAGTGCATCCCTATAAATATTTGGTTGTTTGTGTAGGACCTAAAGTAAAGTGCAGCCGGCTTTAATAGTACTCAATGCAAATCTCAAACAACTCGGCCTGAACAATCGGTATAACCTACAATATGTTTGGGAAGATCTTGTACATAGTTTCCAAGATCTGGTCTGGATAATAATCAAGTCATAATGAGTCTAATTGAATCCAAAGATAACAACATTATTACCCAGCTTCACAGGTTGTGGAAACTTAAGTTAGTAGCCTAAGTGAAAAAAGATTAATAAATAGTAAGATGGTGCAAACTGCTTCGCAGAACTAAAAGTAGGCCTAATGTTGCTTTTTGCTGATCCGAAGGAAAAGAAGGCCTTTGCTAAGAGTAGAGACTGAGAGTGGACAGTCATAACTAAATACAATTTGACTATTTGGCCCTAAAATGTATCACTACTTAGGGCTGCACTTTACTTTAGGTCCTACACTCATTGTAAGTCATACAATTCAATGGCATGGGCTTTAAGGCTGCACTTTACTTTAGGTCCTACACTCACACTCATTCAAATGAGTGTGAGGTAAGTTAACCTTACCTAACTAACCAAACGATATATAGAATAATCGATATATCGATCGATATTTTCATTTGAATGAGTGTAGGACCTAAAGTAAAGTGCAGCCTTAAAGCCCATGCCATTGAATTGTATTACTTACGTGTTTTATTCTGCAAGTTATTGTTTCATTGAAAATGAACTAACATATATTTTCTTTTATTAAGTAGATAAGGTTCAGTCACAGCTCTAAGTACCAGGTTAGAGTCCTCCATTGACTGTTGACTCTGAGGATTTTCCATTTACATGACTTGCTAAAGGATCACTGCTCTCATTGTTGTTTATCTTGATTTTCTCCTTTTCATCACCTGGTCAACAGTTGTTCATTTCGTCAGTTCTTACACACGTCCCTGTGGATACCTTGGAAAGCTCTGCAGAACTTGGTGGTGGTGTCCCAGTCCTCGCGGAGTGAGAGGTTAAACATGGAGTATGCTGGGTTGCCAGACACCTCCTCTACAAGAGACAGGAACTTGGGCAGACACTTCTCCAACGCTCCGTTGTCTAGTGCAGAGTATGTCTCTAGCAGGATCAGACCCTTACACCTAGGATGGCAAGGCTCTCTGTAGATGTCTAATTGGAAATACTGGTTGTTATCAAGAAAACAGCGGCGTCGCTTGAAGATGGTGAAGTGGGAGTCGTCCCTCTGCGCCAACATGTTGATGTAGTCTCGGTGTGTGAGCTGCGTCTTGACCTCAACTACTTGGCCTCGCAGCTTGGGCTTGCGTATGGTGTGTATGTAGGACCAGTGGCCTGCCAACCCAGTACTGTCTTTCTGACCACGTTTCCGGAGTCGCACCTGCATGTTGGGGGTTGACGTCTGAAGGTAATTGTGGACTACGTCGAAGTCTTGGAACGGTGGGAATATAGAGTCGTCTGGCAGCGGACCTCGGACAAGGAACTTGCGTTTGCGAGAGTTGGTCGTGAGGCGGTCTCCAGTGTCAATGCCTAGCTTCTGGCAAACGCTTGCGATCATCCTGCAGATCTTGGTCTCAAAGTCTGTGGAGTTGTCAATGACATCGAAGTACGGATGCCCGACCCAAGCAGCCGCAGCATTGAAGTCCAGCTCCCGAGCCAGGACCACTCCTTCACAGCGACACGCGTGGTCCTCAGTGCTGTAGAAGTCCTCTGCTCCGTTGGCAGCGGACACTAGATGTACAATCTGGTTGTACCGGTTGTCTCTGAGCTCTACAGAGCTCCAACCATTGGCTGACATCATACGCTCCCACTTGTCTCGAGAAATGAATGCAGATGCGTCCATGGCCCCTCTGTCACATATTATGAGACAATCTCTGTTGCAGCTCTCTCCCAGCTCAAAGAATGTGTTCTCTATCTGTAACATTGTCTTGAGGAGGTTCTCTTGAAACTTGTAACCTTCTTCCTCCGACAGGTCTGAGAATTTTATTCCACCACTGAGTAGCACTGTGGCAGTCTCCGGCACTCGAAACACTTTCCATCCTAAGTTCTCAAAGAACGTGCACAACCTTGATTGGCCAGTTGTTTTTCCACCGCAAGGACCTCCGGTCAGAACAACCTTATAAAGCCTCTTCTGTTTGCTTTCCATTGTTCTTACTGCTACCAATTAACCCCACTGTTGTTGGTAGTAAATTAATGTTGTTATGGACTCGGATTCCGGATTGTCATTGTCACTGTCACACTCAAGCAGCTGGCGACGAATGAAAGATCGAAAGAAATTCAAACAAAACAAAAACATACATTGTACTTGAAAAAAAATATTAGTGTAAACCAATTATTTTGGGAAGTTTAAATCAGAAACAGAATATTATACGATTAACGTTTTGTTGTGTTGTCTGTTGTTATTTATTGCAGATGCTAATAACTGACGTAAGCTACGATAGTCAAATGAAGAACCACGACCATAAAAGTCGTTAACTAACTTAAATAACATTATTCTGAAAGCTGTAAAATTATAATGATATATATTCATAGACGCCAAACTGTTTACTCCATGAATGAAAGAGCTTAGAGTAAAGGTCGTTCTCTCTGTCTTAAGTAGACAACAAAATTGTTGGTTGCAAAACGTAAACAAATAAAAAGAATAAGAAAGAAGAAGAAGAAAGTAGCTCCTAATGTTATTCTTATGGGACAAATTTAAAAATGTTTTTTAAGGGTTTTATAATTACTACTGATCGGAATCGTCTAGAATTTTAATGAGGTCTTCCCACTGGTGTCATAATTATTTGTGCAAAATTTGAACGCTATAAGTGCGACGGTTCTTGAGTTTTTGGTGCGAACACACAGACGGACAAGCGGACAACTTTTCTCCGACTCCGCTAATACACGATACATAGATTCGTTCACTTCGTTCACTCATCTATAACTTCATCCTGCAAGGACAAAGGCTTAAGGTAACTAGTTCAAAAATTAAATGTTTCTTTACGTTTGTTAAAATACTGGTTTAAGATAGACGCCACAACAAAGTAAAATCAATGAAATGAAGACAAAAGAGAGGCTAGAAAAAGGTGAAAACAAGATGTTCTAACCTGGAGAAATAAAATGTTTAAAGATGGATAGAAAACTGCTATGGATTAAATTGTCAGAAGGCAAGAATATTAGAAAATGGATCATAAACATGACCGAATGACGTAACTGGCCCGAATCATAATATACTAATTGCATTACAACATGGTTTAAACAGTTCCATTTAATCAATGTTAAATATTGTGTACTTTGGAACCAGTAACATAATTTATGTTTATGAACCATACTGGGTCTGTTGGGTCTGTTCTAGTAATCGTGGAGGTCAAAGTCTAGGTTGGGTTGTAGCACCTCGGGAAAGAGTGAGTTTTTTTATTGTTTTAATTATGCTGGTTCTACTGTGAACTTGACTCGATTGCCAGCAAGGGATGGGCCTAAGGGAAGCTCGCCACATTGCCACGACAACATAACAACTATATAGTTACCTATATAAGTTGTACGGTAAAGACCAGAATCTAACCCAGTGCTCAATTTGAGGGGGGACGCAGCGGAACGGAGTTCCGGTACCTCTATTTGGAAAAGATAAAATTATTGGCATAAATAGATACTAATCACATAGGTTACAGTTCCGGAACCTCAATTTTTACAAATCGAGCACTACCAATACTAGTGCACTGCAAAATATGGTT